GTAATTGTTAAAATGAAGCTTATCAAGCCAGATTCGTGAGTGTGTGAGAAGTAAGCATAGAACAGCAATTATACGAGATTTACAAAGAGTCAACTATTAGCCGTGCAGAATATAGGAAAAGATCAGCTACTCTTGGATGAAGTCGTTGGAGATGGGTTTCTGAGTGTTGAGCACGATTACGCGATGAAGCTAAGATCAACCTAATCATGTCACACTTACAGGTACTCCATAACCCTGCAGGTTATCTACCATAAATGCAACTCACTATGGATAACGTTTTAGACTATTTAGGCCATTAACTGTAACCCTTGAAGCTACCCTAAGCTAGTAATAGTAATTTTGTGGTTGCTTCGACGCCCTAGCTCAGACATCCTGTACGCGGGACTACGTAGACCTTGCAAAATATCCTCATCTTGATCTTCCGCCTCAGCCTAGCTGACCTCTTGTTCTGAGGCGCTGGTCTCGTTGAGTTTTGAGTCCTACCACCTAATACAAAGAATTGTATACATATGAGAACAAATAATTACGCTCACTGACAGAATCACTTATAAAATCTTGAAGTAGCCTAGCGCGATTAGAAACAGGTTCAATGTCAGTGTCCGAGCAAATTTCTGGCTCAGGGGTTTCTTACCTCTCTGAACCAGTTTGCTGTGCTGAACACGGAGAGCGGCTTCAATTATCGTGAAAATGAAACACAGATTCCAGGCCCTCCTTTGATTGACGGAGACGGGTGCGATTTCAAAATTTCAACTTTTGTCCCAGAACATCGTTTGCTTTTCTCGCTAAAGAGCATCGTTTGAGACACTCCGAACACCAGCCGTGTCGAAGAGGAAATCACTTAGTGGGCAGAGAGTTTAAAGATTTAAAAGAGGCGGGCAAACCTAAACGTCCCGAGCGATTCTATCGCTAATAGGGATGAAGTATTTGCCTAAAGTTGGAGAATAGCTTAGTTATTTGCCCGCCTAGTTTGCCACAAAGGGCGTGTAATCTTTTACCACACACTACAGTGCCTATTTTTTGCGGCATTCCATCTACTTTGCATAAATCCGCAGGGCATTCAGCATTCATGTGATTAAACATCATGCACTTTTGTTCCTATGCAGTATTGTCTCTCACATATATCGATATCGCACGTTTTTTCAGATTCTTCCGTATTTCAGGAATCGGGATCGTTTTGTATGAATCTATTTCGCGGTCGTGCAGTGATTGATCAGGTGTTTCCTTATCCGCTTAGACTAGACGAAGATCGTCGTGAAACATTACACCTCATTGCTGGTCCAATGGAGAAATTCCTAATGGAAGTAAACGACGTCGCAAAGTAAGTATTGTTAAATATTATTTCTCAAGTTATGGTCGGGTCAATTCATGCAACTTTAGCAGACAGCTTTGTTTCACCTTACGAAGGAATCAATGAATTATAAAGGTTTCTCAAAGGCATTGTGGCAGTTGACTCCGCGCTTTCTACCTCTGAACTATTTCTGTGTGCTAAACATGAATAGCTACTCAA